TCACAGAACAATTTGCCGTGCCCTAACAAGCCGTTTTATGTACTTTGTTGTCCAAATTTCCCTTATCTTCATACTTTTTAAGACCCAAACCTGATTGCTAATCTTTTTGAAACAGACTGTAGGTGACTGTGCACTCTACGTGTCATTGAACGTGTCATTGAACGTGTCACTCAACGTGTGGGTGACGTGCGACGTTTCTTAGTTAATGTGTGTGTGTCTGTATGTGTGTGTGTGTGTATATATGTGTGTCCCATATGGTGCAGTGGTAAGCGCAGTCGATTTCCAATCGGGAGGTTGCGGGTTCAATTCCCGACGATTATAGTCGCACACGACTTTCTTCTCTTTCTCATTCTCCTACCTCTTCTTTTATTCTCCTGGGTGGTTACCAACAGGCAGTGTATGCACGACTATGTCGTGTGGTGTGTGTAAAAAAAAAGAAAAAGAAAAATGAAAAATAGGGATTCTTTGGCCAGAAAAAGCCATTTCAAAAACAGCTGTGTGGTGGATACCAGGCCAAAAATTAGTGTCGGTGAATTCATCAGCCTTGCAAGCTGTTGAATGGTGTAATCCCAGCACAAGTTGCTATGTCTAACATAGCTGTTCACTATCATCACTTCCGCAATGGGCATGTATGTGTATGAGTGTGTGTGTGTGTGTGTGTGTGTATGTGTCTGTGTGTGTGTGTGTGTGTGTGTGTGTTTGTGTGTGTGTGTGTGTTTGTGTGTGTGTGTGTTTGTGTGTGTGTGTGTGTGTGTTTGTGTGTGTGTGTGTGTATGTGTGTGTGTGTGTGTGTATGTGTGTGTGTGTGTGTATGTGTGTGTGTGTGTGTGTGTGTGTGTGTATGTGTGTGTGTGTGTGTGTGTGTTTGTGTGTGTGTGTGTGTGCATGTGTGCATGTGTGTGTGCATGCGCGTGCACGCGTGCGTGCGTGCGTGTGTGCGTGTGTGTGTGTGTGTGTGCGTGTGACGGTCAATTCTTCAGCCTTGCAAGCTGTTGAACGATGCAATCCCAGCACAAGTTGCTATGGCTTCTGCCGTAGCATTGCTATCATCGCCTCCGGCGATGGGCGTCAAAGGTCAAGGTCAAAGGTGTGCGTGTGTGTGTGTGTGTGTGTTTGTGTGTGTGCATGTGTGTGTGTGTGTGCTTGTGTGTGTGTGTGCATGCATGCGTGTGTGCGTGCGTGTGTGCCTGTGTGTGTATGTGTGTGTGTGTGTGTGTGTGTGTGTGTGTGTGTGTGTGTGTGTGTGTGTGTGTGTGTGTGTGTGTGTGCGGCGGTGTCGCACATGGTACGGTCACTACGGTACTGACCGTACGACTATTTGCCCAAAGCAGCCGTGGATCAAAATAATGCACTGATTTGGGCTGTAATTTCCCCCCCCCCCCCCCCCCCCACGAGTAAATTGTAGTTCAGATGGCTGACCGTACCACACTATATTGCCTTCCGACGCCCATGCTGTGTGTGTGTGTGTGAGAGAGAAAGTGTGTGTGTGTGTGTGAGAGAGAGAGAGAGAGTGTGTGTGTGTGTGAGTGTGTGTGCACGCGCATGCGTGCGTGCGTGCGCCATATGGTGCAGTGGTATGTGCAGACAATTTCCAATCGTGGGGTTTTACATCACGCCCTATAGTCTGTTTCAAAAAGATTTACAATCAGGTTTGGGTCTTAAAAAGTATGAAGATAAGGGACATTTTGACAACAAAGTACATAGAATGGCTTGTTAGGACACGGCAAATTGTTCTGTGAAGGTTTCGGAACAATTGGACCAACCGTTAGGGGTTAGAATTTCGGCCAGGTTTCCGGCCTTTTCCCATGGTTTACAATTTGCCGAGGAAGCCAGTATCGATTTTTTATCAAAACCCACGATTAATCCTTTCCTTTTTGGCCTTGTGGTTATGAATGCTGTCTGCTGACCATTAAGTTGTGAGTTCAAATCCCAACCTATCCTCAAGTAAAACTTGTTTTCATTGTTTTGGTGTTCAAGCTGGTACTGTACAAGACAAAGAAGATGGCTGCACCAAACGACTTGTTGTTGGAGCTCGCGCTTCCTGCTGAACTGACCGACACTTGACTGGCTCACGCTATGTGAACACATGGTGTGAGTTAATTATATGGAATTCATCGCGCTGTAGCTTTTTGAGATTTATTTTTGTATTTCAAGATCGCCAATTTATTTGAATTTAACAGTCAACGCCGTCTTCTATCAGCGTTCACAAGCGTCTGCTTTTCTCAAAATGTCGTCGAAGTCACACGGATACCTTTGCCAGGTCATGGCCTTGGGAATGAGTCCGTGTCGATGTCCTTTTCGTCACACGGTGAGTAATTTGCATCGCAGCTCAAAGAAACTAATATCTTGGTCACAAAACGAACTAGGACCCATGCCGCTCGTCAACACTTTCGTTTCAACATGTCCTCTGTGACTCTATTATCGATACGAGGAAGAACTCATTTGTTGTAAACCAGACGTAAATGACTGTATCAACGTGAGCGAGTAGTCATTTTTCCTGCTTTCGCACGGAATATTTCTTCGAGTTCACAGTAAGTTTTTCCAGGCAGCGATCGAGTGCTCATACGGTAAGACACCAAACTCCGCGAGCGATTGCCAGGATTGCAAATTTTTTTAACGGACTGTAGACGACGGCTAAAATGGCCAACCGGACAACAAAGAAGTTGAGGCCAAAGACAATGATTTTATTTCTTGCGCATGCATACATACGAAGTGACGTAATAGGAGTCGGGTTGCTACAGTACTCCCCTGGCAGGGGTGAGGTCGGGAGGAGTGAGGCACGATAAACAAGAAAAAGAGAGAGAAAGGAAGTGTGGCATGTACAAGGCGGAAAGGAAATAAAAAATAGAATACAATATGTACAAGAGAACGATGTGTGTTTTTGAAATTTGTTGACAACGTGGCAACAAAGACCGAAACAAAAGTCAAAGAGCAGAAAGTGGAAAACAGAGAGATGCATGACAGGGGCAGGTTGACGTGTCAGAGGTGTGTTAACGTGACAGAGGCGCAGGGCATGGCAGAGGCAGAAAGAAAGAAAAGAGGAAAAGTACGCATAACAGAGAAGTGTTATCATGTCAGAGACGGCTGCATGTTGTAGGCTTGGTGAGGTACCAGCAGGAGGACTGCATTGGGGCGAGGTGTGCCGGTTGAGGTGGGGACTGATGGAGGCGTGCACAGCTCCACTTGTAAGTCCTGTGAGCCGTGCGTATGCCTGCGTTCGTGCACTGTTAAGCTGGTACGGACGGTGGAGGTGGTGATGGCAGGATAAAAACTCCGAAGAGTGCATGTCGGGGTCACCAATTTTGGGGTTTTACGTCGGGCCCTAGATGACGGCTACAATGGCCAACCGGACAACAAAGAAGTTAGGGCCAAAGAGAATGATTTTATTTCTTGAGGATGCTTGTGTATCAGAAGGTTGCGGGTTCGAATCACGTCGGGGTCACCGATTTAGGGGTTTTACATCGGGCCCTAGATGACGGCTAAATGGCCAACCGGACAACAAAGAAGTTGAGGCCAAAGAGAATAATTTCATTTCTTGCGCTTGCTTATGTATGAAGTGACGTAATAGGAGTCAGGTCACTACAAGGTTCCGGGTTCAATTCCTGACGATTATGGTCACACACGTCTTTCTTCTCTTTCTCATTTACCTAGCTCTTCGTTCATTCTCCTGTGTGGTTACCAATATACAGTGCATGCCAGAACATGTGGTGTGGTGTGTGTATGAAAAAAGGAAAAAAAACGCAAAAAAGGGGTTCACTGGACAGAAAAAGCTACTTCAATCAGCTGTGTGGTGTAGACCAGGATTAGTGGCGGTCAATTCATCAGCCTTGCAAGCTGCTTAATGGTGTAATACCTGCACAAGTTGTTATGTCTAATATAGCCGTTCGCTGTCATCGCTCCCACGATGGACATGTCAGAGTCGGAGTCTCAGTGTGTGTAAGTTGGGGGGGGGGGGGGAGGGGCTCACACACGTATGTAAGTGTGTGATTGCGCGTACCGGACTCACTCGATTAGAAGCCCCTCTCGAATAAAAGCCCCTCTTGAATAATAGCCCCCCCCCCCCCCCTTTTCAAGCACTGTTTAAAAACATCTCTCGAATAGAAGCCCAGACTACTATACGCGTGGGGTGACCAGGTAGTGCCATGTATGTCAATTGCGTAAAAGAACATCTCGTGAATGTTCATAGTGGTACATGTCCTGGCCAACGTAGTGTGTGCAAACTAACTCAGGGCCGAGTTGCTGTGAATGTGAAGGTTTTAGAGATTTGATTGGAATACTGGTACGGAATGAAACAATATAAAACCCTCTCGAATAGAAGCCCGTCTTGAATATAAGCCTCGTCAAAATTGGTATAGTAAAATAAAAGCCCCGGCTTATAATCCAGTGAATACTGAATACTGTATGTGTGCGTGTGTGTGTGTGTGTTGTGTGTGTGCGTGTGTGTGTGTGTGTGTGTGTGTTGTGTGTATTTGTGTGTGTGTGTGTGTGTGTGTGTGTGTGTGTGTGCATGTGTGAGTGTGTGTGTGTATTTGTGTGTATGTGTGTGTGTGTGTGTGTGTGTGTGTGCATGTGTGAGTGTGTGTGTGTATTTGTGTGTATTTGTGTGTGTGTGTGTGTATATGTGTGTGTGTGTGTATGTGTGTGTGTCTGTGTGTGTGGGTGTGTTTGTTGTCTGTGTGTGTGGGTGTGTTTGTGTGTGTGTATGTGTGTGTGTGTGTGTGTATGTGTGTGTGTGTGTGTGTGTGTGTATGTGTGTATGTATGTGTATGTGTATGTGTGTGTGTATATGTGTGTATGTGTGTGTATGTGTGTATGTGTGTATGTGTGTGTATGTGTGTGTGTATGTGTAATAACATGATAAGTCTCGTTATAAGACTTTTTCTATGTCCCAACTTGCCATAGATTATGTAGTAACGAGGGATGACCTGTACACAGTATTGAACTCTTGAAGGACATAGTCATCACAGTGTAGAGTTTTAAATACATTTCGTTTCATGCAGGTTTTCACTACTGATGGAAACTTCATTACCATGTTCGGATCAGAGGGAGAGTCAGATGGTCAGTTCAAGAGCCCTCAGCACATTACCGAGGATAGGCATGGACACGTCCTGGTCACTGATAGTAACAACGAACGTGTTCAAGTAAGCTGATCAGTGATTAGTTTGTCTTACCTTTTTGCTTCTAGCACTACTTCTGTTGCCGAGATACATCATACACTGTGGCAAGAGTGTGAAGCTGTAATTGCAATGCCTTTGACCATTCTAGATTGAGAAATCTCACCATGTGCTAGACTGGCAAGATGAAAACCTTCTACTGAGGTGGATTGATGACACTCGAGCCATTGCTGAGTGAAATACATTCATTTGCAGTGTGGATATTGTGACAATTAGAAACAAGAAACCAGTGATATACGGTTTCTTTTAGGCCACGTCGAACACTTTCTCATCGCCCTTCGTATATATCCAGGGGGTTTTAGTGAACAAAAAGCAGCGAAATGAAAGCAATCTCTGGTGGAAGGGGGAGAACATCTTCAGCCAATCAACAAACCCTGGACTATGTGCACAATGACCCCTGCTGCATCTGCACGAATAGACCACATAGCTGCAGTAGCTGTGGACCACGTGATATGAGCTATGCCATCAGGGACCGTGTCTATAAACTCATTAGTTGAGCTTGAGTAGGGTGAAGAAGATTTTTTGAAGACTGCCACTTAAATATATATAGCTCTCCTCTGCAATCCAGACCACCACCAGATACGCACATTTATAGAAACACTCCATTTCCAGCACGACAAACACCTCGTGAAGACCAGATAGCAGTGTAAGTCAGTATTGCTCCTGGAAGGTGAGAACAGACGTTGAGGAGTCTCGATCATTCACAACGCTGTCAATTCCAAACCAGCTAGTCAAAAACTTGCATTAGGAATATCAGTAAAAAACAGTGGTAGCAACGTCGGCAATAGTAATGCAAGAAAATTGGTTGTAAGCCCAGCACAGCCTTGTAACTGTTGTATTATGATGTAATGCATTACGTAGCCATGCAAGAGCATGCGCGAGATACGCATCTCGCAGCTGCCTACTTTCATGCAGCATCCTTTAGATGTGCGGTTCTTATGATTTGCCTACAATGGCCAAGTGAGAATATAATCCTATCGTAAACAACTAACTTGTTTACCCCGAAACATGGTGTCAGAAGTAAACTAAATAAACGCCCTAGAATTGTCGCAGTAGCGCCACCGGTGCAAGAGGTAAAATGGCAGAAGCAGCCGGATTTACCCCGCCGTCGATGGATTGGCAAGCCGCAGATTTACCTGATGAATTCGAGCGGTTCCAACAATACTGCCTTCTAGTTTTCCAAGGGCCCTTTTCCGACAAGTCCGACAAGGAAAAGGTCGCCTATGTCATGCTATGGATCGGGAGAACTGGTGTTGATGCTTTCAATAGTTTCGAGTGGGATAATGCAAGCGACAAATCCAAAGTAGCTGCCGTCTTCAAGAAATTTAATAAGCATTGCAGCCAACTGGCTCGGTTTGAGCTTCAGAAATACCGCCAGCAACCCGACGAGTCTGTAGATGATTTCTTTGCGAGGTGTAAGAAGAAGACGTCCAAGTGCAAGTTCAGGGACGCTCAGGAGACTAACGATCGCCTGATAGAACAGCTAATCGTGGGGACGAAGCACTCGAAAGTGCAAGAACGCCTGCTGGAGGGTGGTAGTGATTTGACTCTGGACGAAGCGCTTGACAAGGCCCGTACTTATGAAGCAACACAGCGCCACATGGAGCAGCTGTCCACCGCCACCAGCAGCAGCCGTCTACCTGAAACAGTTCACGCCATTTCCAAATCTGTGGGACACGCAGACTGCGGCAAATGTGGACGAACCCACCACCCAAGCAAGTGCCCAGCGCACGGCTCCACCTGCAACAAATGCGGGAAGGCGAATCACTGGGCAAACGTATGCCGTTCGCAGGGGAGAGACGAGGCACATGGAAGGGGCCAGCAACGCGGACGCTGGCGCCAGAGGAGCCCCAGCCCGCGGGAGCGCTACCCCCAGAGGAGCCCCAGCCCACGGAGATGCTTCGACGCACTGCATTTCGACGCCGTCATCATCGACAGCGTCGAGCGTCACCAACCGCCACTAGAGCGAGAGGTGTTCGCGACCCTCAATGTCAGCCTGGACAACACCAACAGACCGGCCACCTTGAGAGCCAAGGTGGATACGGGCGCCCAGGGCAATATATTGCCGCTGAGAGTGTTCTGCCAAATGTTTCCCCAGCACGTCGGACCAAACGGATACCCAAAGCCGAAGTCCGTGAAGCCGTCAAGTACCACCCTCACAGCGTACGGCGGATCCAAGATAAAGCAATGCGGAACCCGTCCTATTCCGTACTCTTACGATGGCAAGAGTCAACTCGCTGACTTCTACATCACGGACTGCCCTGGCACTGCTATCATCGGCCTCCCGACAGCGACAGCCCTGCAGTTAGTCACGCTGAACTGCGCTGTCCAGGAGAAGCCAGCGAGCATCCGACACAAGGACGACCTGATGAAGCAATACCCGAAGTGCTTCGATGGCATTGGGAAATTCCCAGGCAAGTACCACATCGCAATGGACCCCAACGTCGTCCCGGTTGTACACCCTCCACGCCACCTCCACGCCATCGCACTGAGAGACGAGATCAAGACGGAGCTGGAGGACATGATCCAGAACGGCATCATCACCAAGATCCAGGAAGGCGAACCAACAGCATGGGTGAACAGCCTCGTGTTCCGCCTCAAAGACAATGGCAAGCTACGCCTGTGCCTAGACCCCAAGGACCTCAATCACGCCATCCTGCGAGAGCACCACGTGGTCTCCACCATTGAGGAGATCACCCCGAAGTTGAGAGGTGCCAAAGTGTTCTCGATCGTCGACGTCAAATGTGGGTACTGGAATGTGGAGCTCGACGACGAATCCAGTTACCTCACCACCTTCAACACACCATTCGGGCGCTACAGATTCCTTCGCATGCCATTCGGCCTCAAGATGTCGCAAGATGTCTTCCAAGCAAGAATCGACCAGACGTTCGAAGGGTGCTCAGGCGTCACCGGCATCGCAGACGACATCGTCACATACGGGACGTCAGACGAGGACCATGATCTCAACATGCACCAGATGATGGTTCGCTGCGAACAATCTGGTCTCAAGTTGAACCCAGACAAATGCCGCATCAAAGAGCACAAGATCAAGTTCTTCGGCATCATCTGCAGCGCTGACGGAATACAGCCCGACCCGAAGAAGATCTCAGCGCTGAAGCAGATGGAGCACCCCGAGAACGAGGACGAGCTCCAGACGTTCCTCGGGCTAGTCACGTACATGAGCCCGTTCATACCGAATGCCAGCACACTGACCGCGCACCTGCGTGAGCTGACCAAGCCAGATACACCGTTCGCCTGGACAGACAGCCACCAGCGCACCTTCGACAAGGTCAAGGCCGCCATTTCGACAGAGGTAACGCTCAGTTACTTTGACCCAGGCAAGGCAACGACACTACAAGTCGACGCTTCCATGAAAGGTCTCGGCGCCACTCTGCTGCAGGACAACAAGCCTGTTGCATTCGCCAGCAAGAAGCTTACCGAGACGGAGTCTCGCTACGCCAATATTGAGCATGAGCTCTTAGCTGTCGTATACGGGTGTGAAAGATTCCACACCTACCTATTCGGTCAGTCATTCACAGTAGAATCCGACCACAAGCCGCTGGAGTCAATCAAGCTCAAGCACCTCCGCGCAGCCCCGCCGCGTCTACAGCGCATGCTGCTGAAGCTGCAGCCGTACGACATGACCATCAAGTACCGCCCCGGAAAGGACATTCCGATCGCAGACGCGCTATCCCGACTGTCGCCAGAGGAAACAGAGCCAATTGAGGACCTCGACGTCAGTGTACACGCCGTGTTCCCGCAATTCAGCGATGCAGCGATGACGAGGATCCGCGAGGAGTCGGCTAAAGACGCCGAGATGTCAGCACTGAAGGAGATGATCTTCAGTGGCTGGCCATCAGAGAGGAGCGCGGTGCCGGCAATTCTGCTCCCGTACTGGAATTTCCGCGACAAGATGAGCACCGAGGACGGTCTCATCCTGAAGAGCAGTCGCGTCCTGATTCTCCCGCCAATGAGGGGGGAAATCCTCAGCAAGCTGCACGCCAGCCACCAAGGCATAGAGAAGACCAAGCTGCGAGCCAGAACGTCCCTCTTCTGGAAGGACATCAACAAGGATATCGAAGCAACTGTCTCATCTTGCACGACGTGCCAGCGCCACCAGAGCAGTCAAGCCAAGGAACCACTGATGCAGCCCGATATTCCGCCAAGGGCATGGCACACCTTAGGCACGGACCTGTTCTACCTCGGCGGGTCAGAATACCTCATTGCCGCCGACTACTACTCCAAGTACTTTATCACCCGGAAGCTGCCTGCCGGACAAGCGACCAGCAGGGCCATCATCCAGCACCTCAAGGAGATTTTCGGTGAGCACGGCATCCCAGCCGTGCTGAAGTCGGACAACGGGCCGCAATACAGCAGCCATCTGTTCGCGGAGTTTGCTGCCGAATATGGATTCCGCCACAGTACGTCGTCGCCACATCACCCGCAGAGTAACGGGTTTATCGAATCGCAAGTCAAGATCGCTAAGAGAGCTCTCGAGAAGGCAAGGGAGAGCGGGACCGACCCGCACTTAGCACTGCTGTGCATTCGCGCCACCCCAGTGTGCCAGGGCTTACCGTCGCCGGCCGAGATGCTGTTCGGTCGTCAGGTACAGGACAACCTGCCTCGCAAACACCAGCGCGACACTCGGGACGAGGCCATCCGACAGAAGCTCGAGGAACGGCAGGACCAGCAGAAAGTACACCATGACCAGCGAGCGCAGTCTCTCCGCCCCCTAGTTCCTGGTCAGCACGTCGGCATCCGCAGCCCGACCACGCACCTGTGGGAACCTGGTATCGTAACCCAGTCTGTCAACGGGCCACGGTCATACATGGTGCAGCCTGACCATGGGACAGAAGTGCGGCGCAACCGTACCCACCTCAGAGAGAGGCGGGTCCACTTCCCGCCGGATGCCAGTCTCGCAGGCCCTCAGCCGTCGAGTGACGTGCCGTCGCCGTGGAGCGACGTTA